AGCATACGCAAGCTAGTTTTGCGATGCGAGTGCGTTACCGGATCTGACTGAATTTAGCGAGCGACCAGCGCTGTAAGTACTGGGTTGTCACTTGTTTGTTGTCATTTCTTTGCGTCGCGTATCGACGCTTTGTCACGCCAATTAATTGTCTCCTGTGGGTGGCGGTTGCGATCACGACGCTCTCAGGAAGCTCGATTATAATCCGCTTAGCAAAAACATGGATGATGCACATAGTGCACCATATGGCCAGCCGCGAGGCTGGCCAGGTCACCTTGTGCAAAAATCTTTTGTCAAAGCGGCGGACGGTAGTTGTCTTCCTCAACAGAGAGTGGAGACTTCTCAAACAAACACTTTGTTGTTTTGGCAGAGGATGTCGTAAACTTCTCTTACCTGTACGGGCATGAGCAAATGCAAATGCTGAAGTACAAAATGCGTCATCGATTGCCCTCGACAAGCAACTAATGCTAGTCGACCCGAAGTGAATGCAATGTGTATTTGAACGAAGACTTGCAATCACATGTGCGGATGTGTGTACCTTCACGTGGTGGGGCTGAAAACGCTGTTTCCGTAAAGAAACAGTAGGCAAAACACACAACGCTCGCCCCTAGGGCAAATGGCCAATAGGCTAAACGACAAACAACACGGACCATGACAGCACGTGGTGAGGTGCGGCCCGTAAACGCCCAAACATTCAACGTGGAGTCTACCGCACCCCAAGAGCTCAACTCAAGCCCAGAAAAGCCAAAATCCGGGAATCACTCGAGGGGAAATCTCTTGGGATTGTGGTACCACGCGCCCTCTTAGAGGACGGGAGACCGCTCCGGGAGCTAGTTGCAGAGGACCAATGGTCCCGGCAATCCGAATCTAATTCGGATAGATAAGAAATTACTCCCTATCGATTGGCAATCGGTAGGTGCCACTATTGTGGGTAAAGAGTCGTGGCCGTGGTCATAGCAGCCACCCAAAGTTCTTTGCCTCGAGCTCCGGGAGTAAGGCCCGACACCTTTGTGTGAGAAAACACAATTTGAACGCTAATCTCGAACGCTAAAACACCTGATTTTAGCCTGGATCTCGGAAATTGATTTGAATGAGTGGCATGACTGGCACGAATATTGAAAACTGCCTGGGGAGTCTTCTCGGCTAGGCGAGACCCCGCCCCTGACCCAAGTTAGAAAATTAATTGAAAGAGCAGAGATCAATATCAGCGAGTCATAAAAGCCTTCCATGGAAAGCGAAATCCGAGACTCGGGCAAAAATCAGGACACATCCTTTTCGAATAACGGATACGCGTGAGCGGGGATGACCGAAACGCAGTGGGAAGACGTGCCTCGGCACGTCGAAGCGATGGACCTGTGAGTCGTGGGAAAAATCCCTTAATACAGGTACGCAGGGTGGGATGTATTTTGAACGCGAGCCCAGGAGGGGAGGCTTAGTTGGTTGATCGTCTTAGGAATCTTCCTCTGGCTGTCCTGGCTGAGTCTCTCTTCTGACATCCCAATTTGGGTTGGCCTCTGCGGGGTAGTGGTACCAGGTCAAGCAAATCTCGTAAGATTTGTACGCTGCGTGCTTCCGACGTAGTAGACGTTGGGGCAACTAGAGTCCCGTCGCGCCCAAACCGAGGGTCAAGCCTTTAGTTCCGCTCTCTTTGAGCGTCGAACCGTGAAAAGATCGGTACTCCTTTCGAGGAGGTCGCCGCCTTAGATTAAAAAGGTTCCGACTCGCTGAGTGCATCAGGGATGTCGCAGCAAACTTGACTTCCGGATCTCCAATAATGTTTGAAAGCGAAGGAGTGAAAGACAGTGGGCTATGCCAACCTATTGGCGCCCAGAGAGAGGGGTGGTAATGTTTGATTACGCTGCGCCACCCTCAAAGCGGAAAAGTGTGAACGACACACATACACTAACTGTCTCCCGTGGGTGCGACAGAGTAAGTATGTCGGCTTACCAGTTCGTATACGGCGTGCTGATTCGCTTTCTATCAGTGGTAGTTCATAGCGCGGCGTAAGCTTGCATTCCGTCAATCTATCCGGCGTATGCGCAGCACCTATAGATTTTGAGTGCACGTTTGCGAATGCCCGTGTTGTACTAACCTGCAAGGTGCATTCGCGTCGCTTAATTTGCGCCAAGTTTTGTGCTCTACAATTCTAGTTTTGTATTAACTTTCTCTTGTCGATATAAGCTACTGTTTACCCAAAGTTCAAGCCGAGTTATTAACCTAACCACTCCTGCTCTTCTTATAATATTCACTCGCATTATTGATTCGTACCTCATTCCCTCTCGGTTATTCGCTGGTTGATCTTCGCGTAGCTCACGATACTCTCCGCGGGCCGATTTCTCTCTCAACAAAGAAGGCAACCTGAAGCAACTGGACCCTGGACGCGCCTATGCAGGAGAATAGTAAGTGTAATTTTAATTGATTTTAGTAAAACTAATTATTTTTTAATATTAATCTTCTTTTTTCATGCAATCTTATCTTCTTTTTCCCTCTTTCATTTGAAGTACATAAAGATAATGAACTATTACTTAATTGTATTCAATTAAGATAATATTTCAGCATCAAATATTTGACGAAGTAAGCAGTATACTTGCTCTTCGTCCACCTCTCTCCCTCACCGCCCTTTTTTTTACAAGGCACAGTGGCCAACGTTGGGCGCATATTAGAATGCGCCTAACTCTTGGCATTTTGTTTCAACGTCCATGATTGCCGAGGAGTAGCCAAACAGACTCGAGGGGCTCCAGTAGTGAGAGCGAGGCAGAATGAGAGAGAAAGAGTGAGCAAGACTGAGAGTGTAAACACTATGCTGGTCTAGGCAGGTGTGCGACACATAACTGATAGCGTTGCGTTGTATGCTGCCTAAAAATTGTAGGTCAAGTGGGGTTAAAGGAGAGTATAAACCGAGGTTCACGAGAAGGCCGCGGCCGGCAATTAGTCGTTCATTTCCTTCTCATTCGTCTTTGCAAGAGCATCTTACAATTAAAAGCTGTTGCGGAAGAGTGACCACGGGCCGTCGACTATTGTACTTTGGACCTCCACTGCGAGACGTAGAAGAAAGCAGCGAGTGTATCCCTGCAGAAAGATGTCAATGAGGACAGTGACCACGCGATAAGAATCTTCGCCCAGCTCTGTCCGCAACACAAGAGAGGTTACCCTTTCGTGAGGTACGGTTGATTGAAGAAGAGGTGCCACACAACGCAGTTTCGCTCTACCGCCTACTACACCATACCAACCAGCCCGAAAAAGACAAGCTCAGGTTTTCATTTCCTCTCTTTCTAATCTTTCTGACCATAATAGACGTGTGATTGAAGTAGATTAGGTCGCGGTAATATTCGGTAACCAGGCGTTCATTTGCCGGCTACTTGAGATTTCTTTGTGTTCCGAGCAGCGACTTGATAAACTAAGTGTGCGGGACAGGTAGTGGGCTTCCAAGGCGTTCATCTGCTGGGCAGTTAGCATCTAAGTCATTTCGGTCGATGGCATCGTAGTTTGTACTAGCGTAGGTCTTCAATTCCAACAATTCCGTACGAAATTATTTAAGGGGAGGACAAGGGAGGCGGTGAGTCGCTCCTAGCAAAGCAGAAAGGAGAAGGTGTAGACACAATGATCTTCACACACACAGTTTCTTTAATCAACCATTTATTACAGCTGCACTACCTTGAGTACCGACGAAAATACAAAAGTTACCTAATACTAATGATAGAAAGACTAATGCTAAACGAGGTGACCGGCACGTTATCGCCATGTCACCTCATTAACCGGCTCAAATTAAACTATATAACAACGAAACGTTGCGCCTGCTCGTGAAAGCCTGGCGCCGCACACAAACCGCGAAATAATGCCGGGAAAACAGAGAGAGAAAAGAGAGGAGAGAAAACTGAACCTGACTAAATGTGATGGCTGCTTGGCAGGTGGGCTGCAGGTGAGTTGGCTGGCGCAAGATGTAGCCCAGTTCTGACGCTGTCACGGCTCTCACACTCTCTCTGATTTATGATAGCAAGAATGGCGACCCCTCAGGACTTCTAGTGCGGCCGATCTCTCAAGCATGCGTCGATCTAGTGTCGTGAGTGCGTGAGAGTTGGCTTCTCACGCCTTCCCCACCACTGTCCTCCTAATCGGCGGCACGCGGCACTGCCCAGCGCGACAAGTGCTGCGCGTCAAGCCTCACAGAACTACATACGATTTTCTTCTTCTTCTCTCTCTCTCTCTCTCTCTCTCTCTCTTACTCTTGATGTTTCTCCCCATTTCGCTTGCTCGCTGCTGCCTCCTCTCTCTCCCTTCTAGCCGCAATGCTGGAAAGAATAAAGGCAGGCATCAGAAACGTAAAATAACGTGCGTCTGATGCCAGCAGTGCGCCTTCGCCTAGGATAGAGAGAGAAGCATACACACGGTGCAGGCCATGACCAGCCTACACCGTCACAAGTTTATAAGTACTCATGCGTCCGTTTCTGTTCTTTTCATAATTAGTATAAGATGTTTATATTGAGTTTGTTCGTTCGTTGTTTATTAATGATTAGAAATAAAATTTTGCATTTAATAAATGGTGTATATAATTATTTTTGGACCTATTTACTCTCTTTCCTCTTCAATTGCTGAAAATAAAAGCGCCTCTCTTATCCCACTTAAAAAATTAGTAGCAAAAGCATTGGAATAATACGCCTATCTATTACAAATATTAAATTTTAAACAAATGATCTGAAATACGCGGACAGCATGCACTGAAACAGAACTTATAACTCTGAGCCAATGTATATGGTAGAAACTTTAAAGAGGGGATGTGGATCTTTGGCATATGTTTGAATATACTTGCTTTGAGCTATTTAAAAGGGCAGGCATTCCCATATGATCTAGTACATTCAATCTGATTCCAGTATCTTCAAGAGTAAGTATGTTCTCTGTTTACGTATTTGTGTATTTTCGAAATATGTATGAAGTTTTCAAACAACTAATGTTATATTTTGATAAATAATCTACGTCATCTTTATTGATAGAGAAATGGGACTCACCTTTATGCTAGGGCCTCCAGAATCATCGGGTCCATAAAATTGGTGTGTATCGTTAGCCAAAATATCTAACCAACCAACTTTACTTTTTAATTTTGGTCTTTCACCATTACCTATTGCATACCTATTTCAAACAGATTTAAAAATTAATATATTATATCATTTTTCAATCTTGAAACCTTCATTAATCTCATTAAATGTAAAGTATTATGTTAATAGTGACACTAAAATGTATCTTATAATAGATCAAACTTTGATAATTTGAATTTATAAAATTAAATATACACTCCAGCCCAATAATCTTTGCCCACCCGAGAACAAAATGACTCTAACTTTGAAACTCCATATCTCGGCTGAAAATAAACCTACAGAGCTTTACGACGATTCATTTGAAAGGTCTTTTCATGCGTTTTCGAATGGTGTATGTTAAAATTATTCTAACATACTTTCCTTGTGTATAGGCGGGCGAGTGTCAAAATAAAAATTACGAATATTTTGTTGTTTCTTTAACCGCTTGCCATTTCGAGAAAATAAATTATAAAAAATATCTAAAAGAAACATGTTGTAGCTCTTTTATTATACTATCCAAAACACTCATTCATAAATGCTCTTGATCTAAATTCAGCGATTATATGAGCATTTCATTCAAAAACAGCGTCTATATTCATTACTCTTTATCTTGAAAAATTCGGATCATAGAAAAAAATTTACTTTGAAGAAAATGCTCTATTTTATAAGAATGCGTAAACTAAATTTCATAATCATATGGAAACATTTTTTTTCAGTCATAATATCAAGTAGCCTAATTTTTTCAATATTTCATTTTTTTTCACTTTGGAAGAATAAAAAAAATCATTTATACGTTGTAACGAGCCGGCTCGTTACAGGGAAAAATCCGCTGAATAGAGAGCCAGCGCGTGCCATGCGCGGGCCAGCTGCGCAGAAAACCGTGCGCGAGCGGAGAGAAGAGAGAGAGGACGGTGAGGGGTGGGGGTAGGTAGGAGAGAGATTCACGTGTGAACCGGCAAAAAGAGCAGAGTGATACAAAGGAAGGACACTGAGTACGAGAGAAAGAAAAGATAGGAAAAGGTAGCGGAATCGGAAGTGAGATCCAACAGGAGCACCGAACCAAGGACGAGAGGAGCGAGTGCCGTCACCCAAGTGACACAAGAGTTAACGAGTGTTGCGGGGACCGAAAGAAGGAAGTATCTCCTGGACGACGAAAGCCGGCACGTGAGCTCGACAACCGGAGAGTTAGCAGCTGAGTTTCACGCCGGATTATAGCGAGAAGAAGTGAGTAATCTCACCGACGTATAATTATCTGCGGAAAGATTGCGTTAAATTAAGCGTCCGTAAGTAGGCCCGCATACCTCTTTCTCTCTCTCTCATACGGCAAAACCCGACGTGTTGTAACTGCGCGGCGCAGTGGTGCGTCACTCGGAAAAGCTCTCGGCCTCTTTCTTCATGGAATGTAAATCAAGCGCTAAACGAATAAAGGGCATCTGCAACTAATCGGCCGCCTTATTCACTGACGTGGGCAGAAGCACACGTGTCCCCTCTGCCCAGCCACCCGAACCCATCGACTCCCCCGCGTGAGCGGTGCGCCGAGCACGCTTTCGACGAAGCAGTCGGCACCACAGCCGGGAGGCAAGCCTTCCTTCAACGAAGTGGCGGTTAACTTCGCAACGTGGGAGCGACGGTGACTTATTTTGTCAACGGATACCGATATATCACTCAGATAAATCACAACCGTTACAACGTGAAGTTATCTTATTTACTATAGAAAAATTGTAACTGTATGCATATCTCCATCAACGAAAAATCTTAGTCAGTGTAACAACTATTAAGAAACAATTATAATGCGATATACCTAGGTTTGTTGAAACTCAACAGTCATGAAAATAATATTTGATTTGAAATAAGAACATTTTTGTTGCTCTTTTTTTTCTCAATGTAAGTAGAAAAATTAATCTAATCTATTAAAACTAATCATAACTAATGATTAGAAAAAAAAATGTTCTTGTAACCTTTATTTATTATTTTTTACCATAGTAATATATTGTTGAAGTATTATTGAAGTATGGTACACAGAAATTAGAGTACATAATATTAGGTGGGAATAGAATATGTAAATTTTTTCATTGTCAAGAAAATATAATTATGTACGTCAAAACTCGTCAGCCGAAATATTCATAATTATTCGACACTAAATAACATGGAAAATTTTGTAAATTTAATTTTAAGAAACTTGAATTCGAAACGTAGAAAAAATAATATTCAGATGAAGCTTTTTGCAGACGCATTAAACTTTCTTTCCGTCGAAATGATGGTCTTTGCTTTTTATAATAGGTCGTTGATGAAATCTCCTGCCATTCTGATTGTATTATTTCCTATAGATTTTTTGCAGAAGTTGGAAGTTTTCTTCTCATGGCTCTATCTACTTCTTTCCACAATAACGCAATTGGATTGAAATCCGGCGATTCAGGTGGCCACTCCATCATTGTTAACTTCTTTTGTATTTCTAAATTGGTAATATAATTTTTTCATATATTGGAAGAATGTTTGGGATTATTATCTTGCTGAAAAATGAATCCAGGACCAATTAAACGTGAACCTAAAGGAGCAACATGTCTTTGAATAATCTGTTTGTATTTTTCTTTGTTCAAAATTCCATCAATTTTTATAATATCTCCTACGTTTGATCCACTAAAACAGCCCCAAACCATAATAGATCCTCCACCGTGATTTACCGTTGGCACAATACAACTTTTTGAATATTTTTCTCCAACACGTCTTCGAATAGTAATTGATCTTTTACTACAACAAATCTGAAATTTATGAAATTTATACTCGTCGGTCCACAATACGTTATTCCAATCTGCTACAGTCCAATTTTTCTGTTTTTCAGCCTATTTTAATCTTTTAGTGATATTGTTTTTCCGCAGAAATGGTTTTTTTTACAGCAATTCTTCCAAACGATCCGTTCTTATTTAGTCAACGCTTTACAGTTATGCAACTCACTGATTTTTTTAGATGCCGATTCACATCAGCAGTGATTTGTCTAGCTATAAGATGTCTGTTACGCAAACATATATTTTTTATAAATGCGTCATCAGACGCATTGTTTTCTGTGGTTTACCAGAGCGTTTCTTGTCTTCAACACTTCCGCTACTTTTAAATTTATTCACATTATAGTCTACGGTTCGACAAGGAATATTGAGAATATTAGCAATCTGACGATCACTTTTACCATTTATGTGCTGGTTACATTTAAGGTTACAACAACATTTATTTTTTATTTTTTGCTAATCATTAGTTATGATTAGTTTTAATAGATTAGATTAATTTTTCTACTTATATTGAGACAAAAAAGAGCAACAAAAATGTTCTCATTTCAAATCAAATATTATTTTCATGACTGTTGAGTTTCAACAAACCTAGGTATATCGCATTATAATTGTTTCTTAATAGTTGTTACACTGACTAAGATTTTTCGTTGATGGAGATATGCATACAGTTACAATTTTTCTATAGTAAATAAGATAACTTCACGTTGTAACGGTTGTGATTTATCTGAGTGATATATCGGTATCCGTTGACAAAATAAGTTACCGTCGCTCCCACGTTGCGAAGTTAACCGCCACTTCGTTGAAGGAAGGCTTGCCTCCCGGCTGTGGTGCCGACTGTTTCGTCGAAAGCGTGCTCGGCGCACCGCTCACGCGGGGGAGTCGATGGGTTCGGGTGGCTGGGCAGAGGGGACACGTGTGCTTCTGCCCACGTCAGTGAATAAGGCGGCCGATTAGTTGCAGATGGCCTTTATTTGTTTAGCGCTTGATTTACATTCCATGAAGAAAGAGGCCGAGAGCTTTTCCGAGTGACGCACCGCTGCGCCGCGCAGTTACAACACGTCGGGTTTTGCCGTATGAGAGAGAGAGAAAGAGGTATGCGGGCCTACTCACGGACGCTTAATTTAACGCAATCTTTCCGCAGATAATTATACGTCGGTGAGATTACTCACTTCTTCTCGCTATAATCCGGCGTGAAACTCAGCTGCTAACTCTAGTCTACGGTTCGACAAGGAATATTGAGAATATTAGCAATCTGACGATCACTTTTACCATTTATGTGCTGGTTACATTTAAGGTTACAACAACATTTATTTTTTATTTTTTGCTAATCATTAGTTATGATTAGTTTTAATAGATTAGATTAATTTTTCTACTTATATTGAGACAAAAAAGAGCAACAAAAATGTTCTCATTTCAAATCAAATATTATTTTCATGACTGTTAAGTTTCAACAAACCTAGGTATATCACATTACAATTGTTTCTTAATAGTTGTTACACTGACTGAGATTTTTCATTGATGGAGATATGCATACAGTTAAAAATTGTCTATAGTAAATAGAATAGCTTCACGTATAAATGATCTTTTTTATTCTTTCAAAGTGAAGAAAAATAAAATATTGAAAAAATTAGGCTACTTGATATTATGAATGAAAAAAAATGTTTTCATATGATTATGAAATTTCGTTTACGCATTTTATTTATAAAATAAAGCATTTTCTTTTAAGTAAATTTTTTTCTACGATTTGAATTTTTCGAGATAAAGAGCAATGAATATAGACGCTATTTTTGAATGAAATGCTCATATAATCGCTGAATTTAGATCAATAGCATTTATCAATGAGTGTTTTGGATAGTATAATAAAAGAGCTAGAAAATGCTTTTTTTAGATTTTTTCTACGATTTTTTTTCTCGAAATTGCAAGCGGATAAAAAAACAACAAAAATTTTGTAATTTTTGTTTTGACACTCGCGCAAAGAAAATATGTTAGCATAATTTTAATATACATCATTCAAAAGAGCGTGAAAAGATCTTTCAAATGAGTTATTGAAAAGCTCTGTAGGTTTATTTCTAGCCGAGGTACGGAGTTTCAAAGTTAGAGTTTTTTTGTTCTCAAGTAGGCAAAGATTATTGGGCGGGACTGTATATATGTATTTTATTTATTTTTCTTGAAAAGTATTGTGTACATTCAAGGGTCGCGGCAGCGACCTGCGGCATGAATGCCGGAGGCGCGGTTTATTACGCGACACTATACTCAATGAAGTCGGCGTGCACAG